TCTTCTGTGTGAAGATGATTAACCAAATACTTCAAGAAACACTGGCAAATCATGTACATGTTGGTTTAATATGTACTGCAGAAATTATTTAGGTCTGGAGGTATTTTTAAAGAAAATGACATAACAAATAATGCACAGTAAATGCTCATTTCTCGGCTGATTTTCATCAACAGATTTCAATTTTTTTTATGTATGTCTTCAGGGACAACTGCAAGAGGTGGGTAAATGTGACCTCTGCATCAGACCTAGGGAAAGGGGAAGAGTATGGCAGCATGAAGAAAGAAATCAGCCCTCCTTATGTTATTGAGAGTGGCATGCGCATTAGTTGAACAGCCTGGTACTACTCTTCCACTGTCAATACATAAAATGGACAGTGATAAGCAGAAATCACCAGTATGTTTCGTCAAATACTCATCAGTCACCGGGTATACTGGAGTTTGTTTATACTTTGCTCATGAAACACTGCCCAAAAAAGAAAATTACCAGTTTATTCCCAGTTTTTCTTGAGCACTCATCATTATAGTAGTACCTAAGCACTTCCTAAGCAGGTATTAATCTTCAGAGACTGCTGAGGGGAAGGGGCTGTATCATCATTTCCCTTGTCTGGCTGGGGGCTGTGGAACAGAAAGACAAAGGCTGAAAGTTCCCACCAGTTTGGTGTGTACCCTTTAAGGTGCAGCCACTGATTTTTCTACGTATTTAACAATCTGTGGTATATTTTATGTTCAAAATATGGAAAAGGAGCTTCTCTTCAATCACATGTGGATATACCATTGCCATAGACTTTTGCCCCAAGAAAAATGTATTTATTCTTTTTAAGGGATGTAGAGAAAAATGGGCAGAAAGCTGGAAACTAACTAAAAAAGAAGCTTAGTATATACCTTAGGGGTTGTTAAACACCCAAACTAGTAGCTGTAAAGTTCTTACTTTTTGGCAGTCAAATTGAGGACCCAGTTCTGTCCCAAAGGTCAAAGCTCAGTAAGGCGGCAAACAAAACTCAGGGCTTTTACAGGGCCCAACTTGGAAGACACAGTGGTTCAGATCAGTCCTGAACAGCAGGTTTTTCACTCAAGTACAAAACAAATTCGTCTGAAAAATTTGGTTTATGTAATATGCTATCATGTAAAAGAGCTTTAGTTAAAATAGGCATGTGCACAGACTGTTAGGTTTTAATTTTTTCAATGACTCGGTTAAAGTGGGTTTCCACCACCACAGAAACTATGCAGCATGGTCAGTGACAGAACCCACAGCTCCAGAGCAGCTTTTAACCATAAGACAATTCTTCCATCTTCTGCAAATCACTGCAGCGCTCACTATATACTTTCACCTTCAAAAAACACCAAGTCCTACCACTACAAAAATTCTAGTTCTACACCAAACACACCTCTATTTATAAAAATTAGCATGCATTTTAAATTGCATTTATTCACTTTATAAATTGCAATACGTATTTAAGTTCAAGTATGCATTTACCATGTATTATGAATGATTCATAATAATTAAAATATTTATTCACCAGTATTCGTGAATTGGAAATTAAGTGTGACAAATGTTTTCAATTGTTAAAATATGTAGTTTCCTGTTTTATTTCAGTGCCTTTTCTGAGTCTCCTCTGTGAATGCATACAGGTTTTTTGATATCCAGCAATCTTCCAACTCTTTACTTTGGCTGTTCAACCATGTACAGCTGGATTTGGATTATTATTTTAAAACAAATCAATATTACACTAAATGGCAGCTTAAAGTACAGATGCAATTGATTTTGTTTCGCTGTTCACCCTAAAGTACGTTAATTTCCAGTATAACAAAGGCATTTCCAAAATCTCCCAAGCAGCAGATTAATAAGGATTTTTTACTTCTGACAAAGCTGCCTGATTTCAGAAAACCCCACTGAGATTATTACTTTCTTGTCTGTGCTTTCTGCCTACCTCAGATAAATGTTTCTAGACTTTCAGTGAAATGCTTTGGAGATTTACATAAAGTATGCTTTTCGTTTTGGTGTGTTGTTGCCAGAGTAGGAGGAGGCAAGAGCAGAGATAATGACAACATTCCTACAAATCCAACAAAACCTGACGTTCTGGAAACAGTACACTAACACGAGCATTACCAGGGCAGAACTCAGTAAAACACAGCTAGTTACACAACAACAGGTAGTTTTCAGCCAGACTGCTTTCTTTTTCAATATGTAAGGACAGAGTCTTCTGAAGCACATCATAAATATTCACTTCCCAGGTTTTCTGTAAGATGTCCAACTTCTCCCTCTAGCTGAGAGGATAAATTGCCACAATCTATATGATTATCTCAGGGTCTCATATGTCAATGTCTCCTGCCTCAGACCCAATTATATACTCAATACCTGGTCACATTCACTTTGATGACATTATCCGTAGACTCAACCGCTGAATACAGGGCAAAGATAAATGATTAAAATAACCTAGACACGTTTGTAAGACAAGCCTAAGATTCCCCTGATACGTGGAGTAGACAGAAAGGTTATACCATCATCAAAATAAAATGCCAAAGTACTGTAATTTTTATAGTCAACAGGGAATGACGACATTTCTTTTGAGTGCCAACTACTGAGTTCTCTTTGACAGTAAAATGAGGTCAAGAGAGTGCTATATAACAGCTACGGTTGAAAGCTGAAACTTCAGCTGATCATTTCTAGTTCTCCTACCATTTAGGATTTTCCCTTTTAACTTCCTTTCAAAAATCTTTTACCCTTCAGTGTCAAGTTTTTCATTATCAGCTATCTAATGCTTATCATGACTGATACTTTCAGTCACTGAAGTTTCTCTAGATTTGAGAAATCAATACAGAAAAGTAATAGAAGAATATTTTTGTGGCCTAAAATGTATATGTATTATCTTCTAATTGTAATTAACTGAATTTCAATGTACTTGGATAAGGAGTCTTGATTTCAATCTTGTCAAGTTCTGACTGTACTCACTAGGTCTTTCCTATGATCCACTCATTGATTAGGTGGACTAGAAAGCAGCCCATCTGTCTAAACAAAGTCAGATTTTAAAACATTTATTTAGTTCCTTTTCAATTAACTACATAGTGTTTCAAGCATGGTATTGACTTTTCTTGGCATCATCCCAAATCCTTTAAGGGGAGAAGATGTAGCAAAAATTAGAACCTAATTTGTCTTGCAAAGTTTCAATAAATACTCCTCTGGTTTGTCTCTGAAGAAGCTTCCTACTGCTGACATTCACCAAGGATGAAAAAGCAGAGGAACAAAGGAAAAACCTGAAGAGACCTTCCAGGAAAAAACCAGTCACAGTTAATCTTCCATGGCATACGTCAAGGGACATACTGTATTTAATATGACTGACAAATTTTATTTATAATCCTCCTTTTTTATCCCCTCTTCTTTAGCTCACCTTTTGTTGGGAATATGACATTTCAAAGTACTTTTCTTTGTCTTGCCTTCTGAAAGGAGCTCAACAGCTATTCAAGGATTTCCATAAGTCCCATTAGATAGAAGTCAGTTTACCATCTGCCACACCGGACCCCATGATGTATTCGCAAACTTTTATTTAGCAAATGAGTCTGCACATAGAGGCACATGACAATCTACTGCCTTGGCAATGTTGTTTTCTTCCTGGTGCCCTGCCAAACTTATTATCCATCTGCCTTTTACTAAAAGTCTTACAGATCTATTTGTTTCCTTGGCAGATACATCATTCTACTTTTGCTATTGATCAAGAAACAGACCCCACATAGTAGTCAGCTAATGGCAAACCAAAAAACATGGGGAAAGTCACGGTTCTGTGACAAGCTACGATGTTTGCACTTTCATCCTATACAGCTGTTCATACTAGCCACAGAGTTCACTTCTCCTAAGTATTTCTCTTTGATAAAATACCAATGTAAGTGTGTTTGCATGAGCTGCTGTATACATTCTTTGTTGGGCTGTAATGTGTAAAGTCTGATTGATTTTTTGTAGTAACAGATATTAATAATCAGTGGCTGGTGAGCACGTCCGACAATAGCACCCACCTGTGTAAATGCAGACATTTAAAAGCTAAGTGTCTGGACTTTGTTAGGTTTCCCCTGTAGTAAATAGCAAAACATAGGCTGAGACTCATCCAATCCCAGCAATGGCTGTATGAACTGCCCACTAGAAATGATTTTAGATGGCTAGATGAATCTACCCCTCCTTATATCGGGACAGGCTTGCATTTTCCACACCAAATGCTCAGTGTTGCACTCTAAGCTTATACGGTGCTGCTGTAGTGCCCTGAAAAATAAAGCCATTCATGAAGAAATTGCCAATATGGTACTGTCAAAGGGGTACTACAATAGCACCCATATTAAATAGCACGTACAGTGCCGAGTCCAAGGAAGAAGTCTATTAGGACATCGAGTCCAGCCTCACTGAAACTGTTTAACCAAAATTCACTCTTAGCTACATTTCTCTTCCAAATCCTAGTTGTATTCTAACAGCCAGTGCCTTGTCACTAGTTCTAGTCACATGGAGGCCCTCCCTGGCTGTGCAAGCAGGCCATGCTGAGCAAGATCCCCCAGTCGTGGCCAGCAGAACCCCCCCAGTAGCTCAACACAGGCCTGGGATCTCCCTGCTCTTCAAAACCCGGTGGGAGCCCCAGATTTCACCAAAGAGACCCTGAGCTGGCAGGCCCACAGGCAAGTACTGAACCAACGCTCGAAGTGCTGCCAGGGCTTCCGTGCGTTAGATAACCCCTCTTCTACACAGGGACTCTTTGGCCCCTGCCGAGGCAAGGCCTATCCGAGCCCGTGGCAAGCTCTGAGCCACGACTGGAGTAAACTCTTAATACTGCATCGGCCCTAAAAGAAGTCCAGAGCCCCCAACCGCCTCCCCGAGGACAACGCGCAGCCGCCCCGCACGCCCTCTTCTGCGCGTGCGCCAGGCGAGGGAGCGGGGGGCGGGAATCAAAGCCGGGAGGCGCCGCTTTGCGGCGGGGTTGTCGTCAGGGCTTTGTGCCGCAGCCGTAAAGCACGGCGCGCCGCCGTTGGGAGGCGAGGGAAGTTTGAAGTGAAGTGGCGGCCCGTGTGGGTGAGGCGGCGGTATGGCGGGCGACCGCGACATCCCCGGCGAGCTCAGCCTCATGGATAAGGGCGTTAAGAGGTGAGGAGCTTGCCGGAGGGGCGGGTGCCCCACTGCAGCCGGCGCGGGGAGCTGGGCCCTCGGGGCGAGGGGAGGCCGCGGCTGTGG